CTGGGACACTGTGAAGGAGATGGAGCAGTGGTGTTGGCACTGTGTGCCAGGTCTGTATGCCTGGCACCCTAGTGGAGAGGGAGTGGGCACAGGGCAGACAGTGAGAGACGAGAGGAAATATCTGAACTCTGGCCCACAGCTGTGCCAGCTCTGCAGACTCCCATGTCCAAGATTAGGCTGGTAGCTTCTAGGTGAGGTCCTTGCTCAGAGTGTGGGGCTGACACGATTGGTGTCTGTAGGCAACCATCTGCATATTACTTTGCCTGTGACCTTGGACAGCCACTGTTAGATGGAGCCTGGAGCCGACAGGACCCGACTTGGGGTTCAAGGGGTGGCAGCAGAGGCATTGAGGGTCTCCTTGCAGCAAGTTCATGAGCAGGCTCTTCTTGAGGTGGGTGGTGCAGCTGCAAGGGCGCAACCCGTGAGAGTGCACGGGACGGACCCCACATGCAACAGGACTTCCTGCTGAGCCTGGGGGTAGACTTTGGGGACTGGTGGCCTGATTGAGGGGTCCTGGAGGGCTTGTCTGCCAGCCAGGGTAGCATCCTGCTTTGGTTATGTGGGTGGGAGGAGGTTGGCCCAGTAAGCTCCAAGGAGGAGGACAGAGAGTCTGCAGTTTTCTGCTTGGCTCCCTCCATTCGCTCTTCCTCTGGTGCTTCAGTGTGATGGGGGAGGTGCCTGGGAAGGACTTGCAGCTATTTATGACCGCACACTTCATTTTCTTAAGGAAAGAATCCTGGTGTGATCAGGAGTTGAGTGGAGGTGACTGTGGCTGGTGAGGCGGATTGTGGAGGCGGGGGGAGGGACACAGTGAGGATGTGCCTGGTGCTGGGCGACCGCCCGCCAGGCAGCCAGTCAGCATGTCCCCAGACAGCGGGCGCTGGGCTGGAGTGGGCGGCCTGAGTGTGAGTCAGGCTGGCAGCGTCGTTGGGCCTTAGCTGGGGGCCAAGCCTCTTCTGGGAATACAACAAAGTGTGAGGGACAGAGAACACCCTGCTGGGATGTTCTGTTCAACCTAAGGCCTGTGGTTCCCCAGCCACCCCAGTGCCAGCCCGATTGGGAGGTGGTGGCATCTCCGTCCACCCCACCCCCACCCCTTGGGCCCTTGGTCTCTCCCATCAGCATCTCCAGTGCTTGGGAAGGCCTCAGAGGGTTCCTGGGTGGAGCTGACCCGTGTCTCTTTCCCTATCATCCTTTCTCAACTGTGTGCTGGGGGTAGAAGAAGAAATTAATAGTGACCTTAAAAACGCTTGTCAGAATGGTGACGATGATGACAATGAAACACCTGGCAGAGCCGGCTCAGCACCTGAGGGCCTGTGGGAGGCTGCGTGCAACTTACTCCTTCAGCTGAGGACATGGAGGTTCAGCGAGGCCAAGCCGCTGGATAGTGTAGAGGCCGAGTATGGAGCTGGCCCCCAAGATGTGGTATATGTGTGCATGTGTGTCTCAAAGAGTGAAGGGCGCCTATTGAGAGGCTGCTTAAGACCTGTGTGCCTCACCCATACCCCTTCAGGGGATCCTGCCTTCTCCTCTCTCCCCACTCCCCTTCTGTGGGCTATGGGGGCTCTGAGCCTCCAGGGGCTGTGGTCCTGCTGCCCCAGGCCTGTGAGTTGGCTCTGGGTCCTTGTCTCTCTTCTCTAGCCCCAGCCAGGCCTGAGGTTGGGAGCCCTGGGCATTTGTTCCATTTGTGCCCACAGGAGAGTGCTGGGGCAGGTGTGGTGGGTCCCCATTATACTTGGGCTGCTCCATTCAGAATACCTGTGTCACTGGGGCCCATCAGCATACCTGGGCCTTCTACTTAAGAGGGGATGCTAATTTTCACATCCTATGCTGATTGCAGATACAATCACTGCCTTCCCACTGCTTTCCTGTCTGGTGCATACCTAGGTGCTCCCTCCCCCATGCATGGTGGTCTCCACCACAGCATTACTCCTGCCTGACAACACCTTGTCTAGTTCCAGGAGCCCGCAGGTTGGTCCCCAGGCCCTTCCCCACCGGGCCTGCCCTTGACATCTGCCACATGCCCACGGCCCCTCCCCCTCCTGTAGGAATGTCACATAGCCACATGCCCCAGTTGGCATGCCCATGCCCTCAGAAGGCCCATTGAAAATTGTGGGTGTTGGTTGGTTTTGCTGTAGCAACCCAAGTTTGATTCCCAGCCAGTGTACCTCATGTACAGCTGCAACCCATCGGTTCTTATGATGCTGAACAGGATTCCATGGAGCTTCAGAGTAAGACAGATGAGGAAGAAAGGCCTGGTAACCAACTTTGAAAAAATCAGCCACTGTAAACCCTGTGGACCACAACAGCCCGATTCACAACCTATTGTGGGAACCCTCCATGTGGGCTTCATACCTCTGTGCCTCAGTTTCCTTCCCTGGAGTGAATGCCCAGCCTCTTGATGATTGCCTTGAGCCTGTCTACAGGCTGGCAGCCTGGCCTGAGTGGATGCACCCACTGAAACCCATCGTGTGTGTGCATGGGAGACAGACCCCTTGCTGCTCCGCCTGCCCACAGGGTACATGTCTGCAGGCACCGCTGAGCTGCCGACAGAGCCCATTCCCACCCAGTGTATCTGAGGCTGCCAGGAATCTCACTGGGGCTTGAGGGGATGAGCCTTCCTTGTCTGTTTCTGGCAGTCCTGGCTGTGCCCTGGGAGCTCACCCTCCATCTTTTCCCTGTTAATGACTCGCTTCTTTCATGAGGCCACTCAGCAGGCTGAGGACTTGTTCACTGAGAAAAGCTCGATTTCCAACCAAGTAGATATCCTTAGGACAGCAGTGAAGACAGCAGCATAGCTTTTGGAAGCACACTTTAACCCATATTAGTCCTGGTGTGCCACTGTGGGTTAATGCACTGGATTGCAAGGTCAGTTTGAACCAAGGTCAGCGATTCAAGCTCACCACCTGCTCCTGGGAAGCCCTATACAGGCTTGCTATGCATCATAACCAACTCAACGGCACTTAATAACAACAACAATAGATAAATAATCCCCTTAAGGTTCTTGGAAAAGCGGGCCTAACAAGTTTTAAAAAACAACTGCTGTCAAGTGTATTCCCTCTCATTGAGACCCTGTGGGACAGAGTAGAATGACTCCACAGGTTTCCAAGGCTGTATATTTTGGTGACAGCAGACTGCCAAGTCTTTCTCCACAGAGTGACTGATGGGTTTGAACCGCCAGCATTTCAGTTTGCAGTGAAATGCTTTAACCACTGCACGACCAGGGCTCATTCTGAGCTTGCCAGCTGTATCTCTGACTTTGGTGTTTGAAATTGATGCTCAGATGTCAGCAATCTGCAGGCTGGGGATGCTTGTCCAGACTCCTCCACCAGCAGCCGTATCCCCTGGTTCGCCATTGGTTGGTCTTGCCTGACCCTGGGTGCTCAGCCTCCAGTCCCAAGTGTCTGTCTTCATAAGCACAAAGCAGTGCCCTCTTATCAGTGTCCTCGCTGAGCTTCTGTTAATCAGGAGATGCACTTTCTGCTGCTGACAGATGGGACTGCCCTGCACCCAGGAGGAGCCCACCAGGGACATGACTGGCGGATCCCGTCCCTTTCCAAGTTCGTGGGTCCTCAGGCTCTTCTGGCCCTGGTCTGTGCCTCTCTGTTCAGGGATCAGTCACCAGCATTTGCTGAAGTGCAGATGGAGTGAACTTTCCTCGAGCAAATCTGTCGTTAAAAAACCATTATCCAATCAGACCGTCACTGCTCCTCTGCTGGGCTGCTTCAGAAGGAGCAAACAGGGAACTTTTCCACGTGGCTCGGTGTCTCCATTGCCCTCGGAGACGTGACAGGGGAGCCTGGTGCAGGGCGACGTGCGGAGATTTACTGATCAATAAGGGAGCTGAGCACCACTCGTGTGAGCTGGAGGCCCCTCCCTGGAGTGGCGCCAACACTCTGGCAGAGATGGCTTTGGTGACTCCGGTGACCAGCTCAGGACGATAAAAGTCAATAGGAAGATATAGGATTTCAATAAAATTATGACACTCAATAAACCTGCCTGCAAAAACACATTTTCTGCAGATAGGTGGTTGGTTCCAGTTGGATGTGTAACTTTAATATTTCACTTATTAGACTTTTTGTCATCAACTGATTGTGCCATCCAGGTGGTGGGAGGGAAGAGGCTCATGCAAGGGGGCTCCAAGCCCCTCACCAGACTACAGGATATTCTTATCTCCTTTCAGGGGTCTGGGCGGCAGGGATGGGGGAGCCTGCCAACCAGAATGTTGGAGGTTTGAGTCCGCTCAGAGGCACCTTGGGAGAAGGGCCTGCTGATCTACTTCAGAAACATCAGCCATTGGAAACCTGGCAGAACACACTTCTCTGGCACCTGACATTCAGTGGCTCATTGCCAGTGAGAGTTGATGCCCCAGCATCTGGTTTAGGCATGGAGAGGGGTGGGGCATGGCGCCAATGCCTTGGAATGTTGGGGGTGGGCTTGTTCTTGCTAGCGGGGAGAGAGGATGGCAGAAAGCAGCTGAGGCCAGGGTGTAGTGGGCCTCAACTTACAGAAGAAGGGGGTCCTGCTGGTCACTCAGATCTCCTGAGTCTCTGTCAGTTCAGTAATCTGCTCTTCCCACTGGTCCAGTGCAGAGCCACCAGAAGGAGCACTGCCTTCAGGCAGGACTGAGCAGTAGGTAGGGACAGCCTCCCCACTGCCCCCTGCTCTAAGTGCAGCTGGGATGGGAGAGATTAGTTCTTCAGCTGAGGCCTAAGTTGTCTCTGGTCTACACAGCCATCCTGTGAGACACAGCTCCTCAGATGGGCATGCCTGGCTCATCTGGTCGTTCTGAGCCAGTTTAGGGCCCTGGATCATTTAAGGCCCTTCCCCCGCACCCTCAAGCTTTCCAGAACTGATCCACATTAGGCAGTACTCTGAGCTCTTGAGGACCATGGGCAACCCTCTGCTGACATCTGTCCCTAGACCATAAACCTGTACCCAGGCACCTGTCCCCAGCACCATGATGTCCCACTGGTCCTGACCACCCTGTCTGCCCACAGGAGCGGGACGGCATGCGAGCCATCCTGACGTCCTACGACAGCGAGCTAACACCAGCGGAGTACTCACCACAGCTGACACGCCGTATCCGCGAGGCCGAGGACATGGTGCAGAAGGTGCACGCCCACAGCTCCGAGGTCGAGGTGAGTGGGCCGCTGGCTTGAACGTCTTCCTGCCTAGGCTGTACACCCCTCCCTGGCCCAGGGTATGTGCATGTACGTGTGTGTATGCCAAGGTCCCTGCTCAGCAGGAACACATCAGGTGTCAGCAGAGATGTGATTCCACCTCCAGAAGGTCTGAATGCAGCACCAGTACCCTGAGTGCCAACCCCACCCCCCCGCATGGGGATGCACTGACTGTGTGACCCTGAGGGGTTAGCATTCAAATCAAAGGATCCTGGCAGTAAAGTGGACTTTGTAAGTTATGTAGTGTGAGGGACAGTCGTAAAGGGAAATGCATCATCCTGGGGAGGGGCTGTGCTGACACATGCTCAGGGACTCGAGAAAGGGCGGTATTCCTCACCCCTGGCCTGCATTCTCACCTGTGTTGGGATGGGAGAGCTCTGGCCACCATGGGATGGTGTTTGGGAGGGCCAAGACAGGAAGGCCTGAGGACCACAAGTGATACCACAATGAAGGGAAACAACCTCCAACTCCTCTGTGTGGAGATTGGGGTGGGAGACACTCCCAGCCTGGGATAAAGCCCCCCAACTCTGTGGGGGCTGGTGTGGGAAATTCCCCCAGCCTAGGAAACAGTCTTCCACTTTTCTGTGTGGGGATTGGGATGGGAGACACCCCTAGTCTGGCAATAGCTCCCCATTTCTCTGTGGGTGCTGGGGTAGGAGACACCCCAGCCTGGGATGTACCCCCCCCCCACACCTCTCTGTAAGGACTGGGGTGAGAAACACCTCCAGCCTGGGACACAGTCCCCTATTTCTCTGTTTGGGGATAGGGAGGGATATACACCCAACCTGTGACACAACTCTCCACTTCTCTGTAGAGACTTGGGTGGGGACTCCCCAAATCTGGTATACAGCCCCCCCACTTCTCTGTGTGGGAATTGGAGTGGGAGATACCCCCAGCCTTGGATACAACCTTTCACTTAACTGTATGGAGCCTGGGGGTGGGAGACACCCCCAATCTGGAAAACAGCCCCCACTTCTCTGTAAAGAGACTATGCCCCAACCTGGGGTACAGCCCTCTAATTCTCCATTTGAGCCTTAGGGTATGGGACACCCCCAGTCAAGAGCAAACCTGGAGAGACAACCCATCAGGCTGTGGTCCCTGGGTGTTCCTGGGCTGCTAGCCAGGTGGTCTGCCCCAGTATCCACTTCTTACGTGCCTGGATAAGTAGGAGAGGAGCTGGCAGTCGGCCTGGGCATACAGGCTCACTGACAGCCTCTGCTGACCATGTCCCAAACAGACTCCCCTCCTGGTTAAAGGTGAACCCACCGTTCTGTGAGATCATTACAAATAGTAGGGCGCTAATCGCTGTTTCATTTCTGCCCATTTGGCACTGTATGAATCATTAATGAAGAGAGATGTGGGGCCAGGCTCCCTCTGATACTTACCCTCGTCCTGAGCATTTTTTATGCTGAGAGATGGCTCCTGTCTGGGTGCACCATATGCGCTCCAGTCGGCTAATTGTGGGCCGACAGTTTTGGCATATCACATGCCATATGTTCTGAGTGTCTGCACACCGGGACAATCAGCATTATCACCATGGCAGCCTCACCAGGGCTGCACATCTGTCCCTGGATAGGGCCCTCAGCCAGGGTATTAGTGCAGCCCATAGGCATAGGCATGGGGCTGGGGGGTGGGGGGTGGCACACATGCCTACAGGGGGCGCACACGTCCATGACTCCTGTGGAGACCACTTGGCCTGATTTGGCTGGCTGCCCCAGTATTAACACTGATGGCCCTGTGTCCTTAACCCCAGCCAAGGCAGAGATCATGAAAGGATAGATAAGTCCATGGAGGGGTGGTTAGACAGATGGACAGATGGTTGGATGGGCAGGTAGGTGAGGGTAGATAGATGGGAGGCTGTCTGTTTGTCTGTATGAATGGGTGAATAAGCAGGTAAATGAATGGGTGGGTGGATGTGTGGATAGGTCAGTAATGGGTGAATGGATGGATCAATGGGTAGGTGGGAATGGTTCTTCTGTACACACTTGAGTAGGTTGGTTCATAAATGAGTGGGGGGCATGGATGGGTGGATAAGTGAATGGAAGCGGGGGATGGATGGATGGGTAAATGGACAGAGGATGAATGGATGGATGGACATGCAGGTAGGGATGGATGGCTATATGCCTGGATATATGGTTGGATGGCTGTATGGTTGTATATATGTATGTATGGGCAAGTAGATGGATGGGTGGGTAGATGTATGGATAGGTCAGTGAATGGGTGGATAAACGGGTGGTGGAAATGGTTCTTCTGCACATACTTGAGTGGGATGGTTGATGGATGAGTGAGATGTGCATGGAGGGTAAATAGGTAAATGGAAGGGTGGGTGGGAGGGTGAACATGAATGTGTCTTCAGCACACAGTTGAGTGAGTTGTTCAATAGATGAGTCAGGGGTACATGAATGGATCGGTGGATGGATAGATGGATAGATAGATAAATAGATGGATGAGTGGGTCGATGGATGGATGGATGGGTGGGATGGGTTAGTAGATGGATAGGTGAGTGAGTGAGTGGGTAGACACGTTTGTGAATGATTCTGCACACATTTAAGTGGGTTGGTCGATGGATGAAGGAGGGGTGTATGAATGGATCAGTGGATGGGTGGGTGGATGGATAGATGGATGGGTAGGTGAGTGAATAGATTGGTGCGTGAATAGTTCTTCTACACACGTTTGAGTGAGTTGGTTAATGAATGAATGTGTGACTAGGTGGGTAGATGGGTCACTAGATGGATGAGTGAGGGGTACATGAATGTATAGGCGGGTGGGTCAATGGATGGATTGGATGGATAGATGGATGGATGGATGGATGGATGGATGGATGGGATGGGTCAGTTGATAGATGGGTAGCTTTTCTTCTTGTGACCCAGGCCACCATGACCATTGTCTTTGTTAGGATTAAATACCTTCTCCAGGCCCTGCTGTTCCTTCTCCCTAATGTCCTGAGTCTCAGAGCCTGGTGGCTGGCCCAGGACTATAGCTGTATCTTGGGCAGTGGTCTTGAGACCCTCCTGGATCTGAACATTGTGACTGCCCATTCCTGTCCACCACCAGGCTCTGCACTTGATCTCTGTAGAGATCAAGATCTTGCTCGCTCAGACAGTTCTGCCCCATTGAGGATGAATTGTACATTTAACTCTGGCAGGACCCTCATCTCTGCTTCCTGCTACTGTCTCTGATCTGGGAGCCAAGGGGACCTGTTTCCCGTGCCCTGACAGGTAATCAGAAGCCACTTCCCTTTAAGTGCCTGAAATGAGTCACTTCTACCTTCAGGAAGCACCAGTAATATCTCCATTTGGTTTGCTCTGGTGATTGGCTTTTGTGCTAGCTGGAGTTCTGTCCCTGGATCCCTGAGTTCAGAGACCCCAAGTCTGAAGTAGACGACAATGTGAGCATCTTGCTCCCCACTAGGTGGCAGCAGATAGGACTGCTGGTCCTACTTCTGAGACAGGTGTGGAAGGACACAGCATCAGTATACAAGCTGCCCCTGAGGAAGCCCTGGAGAGGGACGTCCAGGGGTGTGTATGGTGGGAGGAGGCAAACTGAGTTGCTTTGCCTCTCTCTGTATCTTCTTAGGAGTCCCTGGGTGGTGCAAATGGTTAGATATTCCACAACTAACTAAAGGTTGGAAAGAAAGGTCTGGTGATGTAAATCTGGAAAATCAGCCACTGAAAACCCTGTGGAGCACAGTCTGCTTAGCACACAAGGGATTGCTGTGAGTAGGAGTTGGCTACATTGCAAGTGGTGTGCTCTCTCCTGCCCACCCCAGGCCCCCTTCTTGTATCCTCTCAGCCTGTATTGGGAGGGAGGGTGTTCTCAGCCACCACCTCCTGGTCCAGTCCCTCACTGACATAGGAGTAAGGCGCTCAGCTCAGGGTGCTGAGGATCTGGGTCTATACTGGAGATGCCCTCCCATGAGTCCACAAAGGTGAAGTCAGGAGAAGGGAATAGATGCAGTGTTGCACTGCCGGCCCATGGAGACAGCCACCAGCTGTAGGTTTGAATGTGCTCTGTTTGGGTTCAGAGTACTGTCCTTGTTCAGGTTGGGAAGATCACAGTGAATCTATCAGGGAGACAAGAGACAGAGAAAGCTGGCACAACTCACTCTCAGTCCCAGCAACTTCTATGAGAGCTGAGTTCTGTACACACTTGAGTGGGTTGGTGGATGGATGGATGGATGGATGGATGGATGGATGGATGGATGGATGGATGGATAGAAGATGGAAGGAAGGCTGAGTTCTGTACACACTTGAGTGGGTTGGTTGATGGATGGATGGATGGATGGATGGATGGATGGATGGATGGATGGATAGAAGATGGAAGGAAGGCTGAGTTCTGTACACACTTGAGTTGGTTGATGGATGGATGGATGGATAGAAGATGGAAGGAAGACTGAGTTGTGTACACACTTGAGTGAGTTGGTTGATGCAAGGATGGATGAAGGATGAAAGAGGGGTAGAGTGGTTCATGAGCCGTCATGCACACTCTTTTTGTTGGTTTGTTGATGGTTGAATGGGAGTGCATGGGTGGATGCTCAGATGGGTGAATAGGTGGGTGGGTGAGTGGATGCACGGATGGGTGAGTGGGTGGGTGCATGGATGCTTGGTTACATAGGTGAATGGGTGGGTGATCGGGCAGATGGGTAGACTGGTGTGAGTGCATGGATGAGGGAGTAGGTGAGTAGATGCATTCGTGGATTTTCTCATTCAGTAACTACCCGCTGAGCACCCACTCTGTCTGGGTAGTGGGGACACAGCAGGGAGTGCCACCATGAAGGCTCCTCCCCTCATGGAGTTGACATCCAGTGGGGAGCATGTGATTGGGTGACATCGAGTCAGTTTTTGCCACCAGGTGACAGAACAGAACTACCACCTCGTAAGGTTTCCTGGGCTGTCTTCTCTATGGGAGCAGATGGCCAGGTTTTTCCTCCTGTGGAGTCATTGGGTGGGTTTGAACCA